CTACCCTAAATACTTGATGCCCCTCCAAAATCACTCCTTCATCCCCTGGAGGGCATGGCCAAGCTCACCCTTTAGAGGAAAAGGCAGGATTTTAATATAGTGTCAACTTTCTGTACTTCTGAATCTACTGAATGATGGCTTTAACAAGGTGATGTCGACCTCTGCTTATGTATTGTCGCATATACTCAATTTGAACATCACAGATTTGTGGAAGGTTTACTTTGAGCTTCAGGAGTCCTGAAATGCCCCAATGTTCTTGAAATGTATTTATAATTTATTAGACTGTCTATAGTAGCAAGTTGGCAATATCATAGGGCAGGATAACAGCCTCAGTGTGGGATTCTCTATTTACTATGCCTCAAGGACAAGATGGGGTTTTGATACCCCTTTCAATTTAAACATTATGCTGTATATTTCTGGCAGAATCTTAAAGCCCATGTTTGGCCAAATTTGCCCCCACCCCAATTCCTCCCATCTATCCATAACATATTCTGCTCCAAGATATCCATGTCCCTGCAATTAAAGAGAGTTGATGAGCATTCACTAGGCAAAAACAGCCTTATTCAAACCCACTAGAAAACCTCTTGGCACTGGAAAAAAAAAAATAATTGCCGACAACACATTTTGCTGAGTGATTTTTCTGTTATAATGTAGGGACAGAAAAATAAATACTATAAAATACAAGAACTGGACCTCAGGTTTCTGCACTTGTCTAAATCACAGGATTACCATTTTTCTCCATCTGGTTTTAATTTCTTTCCACCTGCCATTCAATTTAACATTTCTGAGTACTGAATAGAATTTCTGTGTTAATCTAACATTTCATTAACAAAACAGTCCCCTGCCCAGACTGATGTCTTCCAGATGGGCCATAATATGAAAGATGGGAAAGAATGAGATTAGACTTGCATGTCAATGGCTTTCTGCAACACAGCAAAGTAATCTAAGCTTTATAAGGCTTTGTGACCATAACAATGCAAAGAGTAACAAAATAACATTGGGGTCTATTCACGAAGCTGCCGAGGGCAGCCGAGTGAATGACCGATCTGAAGTGAAGTGAGCCGAACACTGTTCGGCTACTCACTTCAGGCTGGTACGGCTAATTTCAGCCGTACATCGGCTTGCTTCGTGTGGCTTCGGGTCGGCCGAACATCCTCAGCATGTTCGGCCGACCCGAATCTATAATAGGGTTAGCCAGAATAGGCACCTGTAGAGTAACAATATTTTATCCCTAGCATGACATACCAGCTGTTGGCTAGCAGAACATGCTAGAAATGGTACTTAGCTAGTAGGGTCCCAGTGAGCATCAGTAGTCACACACTTCCTTCCATGCAAGGTCCTCTTGTCTCTTTTAGCTGCTGGAGCTCAACTCAAGGGCCATGCAAAAGTGATATTTGCCTTTCAGGTGGATGTTAGCGTGTTGAATTAACCCTTGCTTACCATATGATTTGGAAAGTACAGTGACAGAAACTCATTTCAGAAATTCTGCCCCTTTAGTAATCATTATGAAGCAAAATCTCTCTTGTGCTGCACTGAAAATAAATGAAGAAAGTGTGAGAGAGAGAGAGTGACTGTTGTAATTTCCACAGAGCAGAGCCAGTGTTCTCACCACCAGAAATTTTTGGTAGACCTACAGATGGGAACTCATTTGTTACGACCCTTACATGGTAAAAGAAAAACCCACAAGAAACTTGAAACTGTCAAAAGCAAATGGCATCTGTCACTGTTTATTCCATAGTTATAAAACATCAGACTTTGCTTTTCATTTTTGATTCAACAGAATATTCCAAATAATAAAATAAATGAAAACTGCATGGACAAAAATGATGACTTCTGTCCAATCTGGGATCGGAATCTGTTTGCTCATATTTATTTACTCACTTCTTTTATAGAAATATTCATGTGTTGCAAGGGAAGATTATTATATGGAATTTTGTATATGCTTGTGTTTGTAGGCCTGTTGGGGAAACGCTCCTGTGTCCCATGAGGGGGACAGTGGTGGTCTTGGCTGGGGGCAGTTGCTGGAGGAGGAGGGGGGTATGAGACGCACACCACTCTTTAACCTCTTATGTATTTTGGCTTATGGCTTTTTGGTTTTATTGCGATATTATAAATTTAAAGCCTGGTTCTTTTTAAATTCATCCATACTCCATCCAAAACTAATTTAAAGGGTTGACCTTTAATGCTGTTGATAGTATAAGAGGTGATCAGGGAGCATACCTACCTCTGGAAAAACAAGCTATACTTATAAAAGTTATCATTTGCAAAACATAGATCAAACACCCCTTACCAACAGAATAACAAAAATTGTATAGAAGCTAAAAAGATTTCTACTACAACAGATCTGTTGAAAAGCTGTTTAATAATCATGTAAATACCATGCTAGGTGTTTTAATTTTTGTTATATTTTTCTAAACATTCTGGAAGAGCTGGTTTACCACGTGCACTATAAAAAATAATTGAACACAGGGAAAAAAAAGTCACACTTTATTTAACAAGGATTGACCAAAATGGAACTATACAAAGTGTACAATCTAAAAATTTCTTCAAACAAAAAAAAAAGAAACTGCACTTCATAGATTTATTTGAACTGAGGTACTGTACAGAACACGCAGGCACCATAGTTAAAGTCACTGTAGTTACATAATAAAACATTGGACATACAAAGTTTCTGGTATACTAAAAGCTCTGTGAGTTCAGATGGAACAGTATTAAAGCCACTGGTGCCTACTGTATGTGACAACTCCACATTCTCTGCTACCAAATAGGGACTCATTTTAATGCTGCCAGGTAACAGAAGGCCTGTTCCTACTAGGATACAGGTAAAGCACGAATCAGTCTCATATACAGTGGATAAGAAGCCTGCTTATTAAACATGAATGTCTGATAGGCTAAATGCAATTCAAGAGAAATATAATTCAATTTCATTTGTACACAATCTACATAGTGCTACTATAGGCTTGCATATTGAAACATGACACTATCAGACGGCAATCTCAAGCATAGATGGTCAAGGTGTATTTTTCTCTGTTCAAGCGCCTTCCCGTTACCTGCTCAATAAAACAAATAAGGGTAAGACCAAATGTTATTGTTGGTGGTATAGTGCCCTTTGAGTTACTAGCAAACAAATGGGCATGGGTAATATACAGGATTCAGGATAAAGGACATTTATTTATGCCACATAAAAAAAACCCCAAAAACTGCCAACCACCATGGGTTAGATGTATGAAAATGGTCTTATGGCATGTTCTTTGACCATTGAGCGTACACGTACCACAATGACATTTTTTGTCGGAGATCTTGCATTGCTCCATCAGGACAGCCAAGGCATACAGCAGTGAGACACACATCTCCATTTTTAAATGGGTGGACACTGTGACTTTACTAACCCCTTACTTCCACCCTAGGAAGACCATGGCAATTTTATTTAAAAGCCACATCTTAGTAGGTGACAGTACTATGCCAGCACATCTCAGCATGAATGTAGAAAGAGAAGCCCTTAAACATTAGTATAACCTACAAATCTAGTATCTGTTATATCACCTATGTGAAGTAGAAGTATGAAAGCAGTGCAAAATATAAAACATAGAAACAGTGCTAAAACCACTGTATACAAGTATTACATGCAACATTTTTCCAAAGTAAAGCTGCTTGTGGATTCAGTTCTGTAGCCCAGCATCCAAAAGTAATCATTTGGGGTCTTAGGGGATCCCGACTGGTTTAGTTGCATGGTGGCCTTTTATTTTAAATAGGAACCCCTGTGATACGATCTAATCACAAGGATTTTCTGTTTATGCTAATAAAGGCAAGAGAAGAGTAATATTCCCACTGCTGTGTTTCACATAAACAAAATAAATGAAAATCCAGCAGCAAGAGTAAAACATACTAGCAATGGCAGCAGTGTTTAGGTGAAGGAATTAGGAGTCCTCCAGTGCAAAGATCTCACCTCTCTTCAAGATATAACAGGCTGGTAGATGACACAAGTCAATATCCAGCCAAAACAACATTTCAGTTTTGGGTTGCAGTTTCATTAAAAATACATAACAGTGAATGTTAAAAAAAAGGACATTACTAAGAGTTCATTGGTGGGGTAGGCCTGAACCTCGGGTGCTTTGACATTAAAAACATTAGACATGTCCCTGTATGTATGCCTATTAGCCTGAAGTCTGCAAAAAGTATTTGTGTAAATGTAGGCAGATCGCCAACAAGCCTATCTGGGAATTCTGTGCCATATGGATCCAGCATTAACTTCTTAGTTTGCCTGCCACAAGCACTGTGTGCTCAGTAAAAGCTTTGCTCCCTTTTCTCCACAAAACGTTGATCACTTGCTATATGTTACAAACACATTTTTTAATATGTAGGAGGTCCTGTTTGCATGATAATTATCACTTCTGACAAGTACAAGTGCTTATAATTGCTACTCTCCATGCTCCAGTTATTGCTATTGATGCCCTGATTGGTTGCATGATTTTACTGGGCCATATATGGACAGCCAACTAACATAGTGATACAAAAATCCATCTCATGTGTAGGTTCACTGAAAATGTTGGCAGTTTAAGACTAGTATGTCCTAGAACTACCGGTAGTAGGTCCCAAGAAGTTCTAAAACGTCTGTTTAGTAGTGGGATAACTCTATGGAAAAATGCATACTTGTACCAGTGTGAAACTGTAATAATACAAGACAGGCCTACACAGTGAAGCAGAATTGTTAACATTTACGGATGCTTACTTATTAAGGCACAGCAGCAGCTATGTGAATTCTACATTTAACATGTAACAAACCAGATTAGATGTTTTACCAGTTTAGAGTAATTAAAGGGATTACTTACAGTTACTGCAATATGCTCTTTGCCTTAATAAATAAGCCTTAGTCTATGGAAGAACAGCATATATCCACTAGGGGCCGATCCAAGAAGTAAAGTGTTGCAGTTACCCTTACCAAACTCCTGTTTTTCATTTTTCCGGAATATAAAAACTCGTGACAACAAGCCCACTTTTTTTTCACCTATTTTTGTCAATCAACCTTATTTTATGTTGAAATAAATATTGATACCAGAGTAGAACAGAAAACATTCTTCAAGCATTGAGACACACACATCGCACCACGTTAATCCAACGCCCTGACTCTCTTTACTAAGAGAAAAAAACACCTTTATGAAGCTACACATACAAATTATTCACTTCATATTACATACAGGCAAACAATCATTTCATTAACGTATGTGCCCATGAAGATATTGAAGTCGGTATTAGTTTACTGCAAAAAAAAAAACCTCATGCGGGTGTTGCAGTTAAATGGAACTGGTGAAGTCCATAAGGACACTGATTCCAATTGTATTGCCTCTTTGTTTGCAGTTACACTTTGGAGAGGAGTCCTGACTCGGGAGCACTTGCTTTGATAAGGTTTTGAATTTCCTTAAATTTGGGATGGTCCTTATCCCCTACCAGCTGCAAAAGAACAGCCTCGCTGGTGGTGATTATAATTCCATTTCCTGCCAGGCGCTGCAAAATAAGGCACATTCAAAATCAATGAAGCGCATATAACAGATGGAAAAAAATGTTTGTTTTTTTATTATTATTTTTTTAATATGTACACAAAAAATAATCAAGCCAATAGGAATCATATGCATTGTAATTCTTAGAAAATCTTCAGTTTGTATTTATTTATTTAGGTCCAGCCATAGTCATTTACCTCGGTGATAGTCATATCTCCCTCAAATCTACCAAACTGCCCCTATACACACTGTAGTCTGATAATACTCTTTGCAGCCAGAAATCAGGTCATCTTAGCTTATGCTAGGAACATGAGCAGTACAATTATTATTAGGGATGTCCTGATACTAATATCGGTATCGGGGCAATACAGGTCATTTTCACAAGTACTTGTACTCGCAAAAATGCTCCGATAATAAAAAGGTAGATACTGGCCCTTTACATTTTTAAACAAGAGCGGCTGCCTGAGGTCCCGCTCTTGCTAGGGACCTCATGTAGCCTGCTGGGGACCGCACAGCAGCTGTCTTTGACAGTGCTGGTCCAGCCCCACATCTCCTCCTTCCTGCTGCCCACAGAGACCGGCACATCAAAGGACAGCCCCACACCCGCATGTACAGCCCTGGAGCCAGGAACCCACCCATGCAACACAGCCCTGTTGAGACCTGCACACAGCTCTGGGAAGACCCAAACACAGCGATGTATAATTGCTGTACAATCATGGAGTGATAGGATCTGTAGTCCTCTATTGCTGGTTGCCATTCTCCATTGCTGAATAATCATGGATTGAGTTACAGTTCTTCATAATTATAAAGACACTTCCCTAACCTCATTAGTTTGTATTCTTTTACCAAAAAAAGTCACATATCCCTTTAAGAAAAATATATCGGTAATTGGTATTGGTAAATACTTAAGGAGTAAGTACTTGTACTTGATCTTGAAAAATTGAGACATCCCTAACGATTTTTTTTTATAGTAGAGGTGTGATTTTTTTTCTTAGTGAAAACAGGATATTTGGTTATGCTTAACTAAGCCTAACTTGTGTGGTATTAATTCGTGAAGCATCCCAGTGGTATTAAAATCAATCAAGCACTTCTTATGTCTGATGCCTGTACGCAACCTTTAATCCACTGTACCCCATGACCTTTAACCTCCTCTAGTCTCATGCAGTAAGTGATTAAAAGTACAATCCCTATGTATTCAATAATCCCACTACTTGTTAACCACACAATGTGGAAAGAAAATTCCCTTCCAACCCCATAAGCTGCAACATAGCAAACTCCCTTAAACTATTAAAGGAGAACTATGAGGTGAGTGCTTTTCACTCAGCTTCATAGTTCTAGCCGATCTGTGACAATGAGACTGTCACAGGTCAGCTCAGTAGATCGGGAGGTGAGCGAACACATACAGGCGCTCGCTCACTTCTCGATCCTGTGCCGGGAGAGAGCCATGACAAGGGAGGGACTGGATTCCCCCCTCCCCTATCCGATCCTCCAGCGCTGACTGGCGGAACGGACGGGGGAGGGTACAGCTGGCTCTGCCTCTAGATAGGTAGAGACAGCTGTCACTCACGCAGCTGGGTGGATCCAGACATAATTGTCGGGATCTATTCCGGCTGCAGCGTCTCAGTATACCGCAAGCTATAGCTGCGGTATACTCAGCTTAGGGCGACGGGAGGACGCTAGTTTGTGTCCTCCTGTTACCCTTAGGAGAACTATGGGGAAAAGCCCTAACCCCATAGTTCTTTAAAACGTGCAAATTGATCTGGAAATATATGTCCAGTGAAAACAGAGCTTATTTTTTGGGGGATACAGTGGGGAAGAATCCCTGTTGGGTTTTACTGCCATCTGGAGATTTTTAAGAGATAGTGTTTTGTCTGCGTTAGAACTGCTTTGCTGCCCCATATAAATCTATGGGGATGCCAAAGCAGATGAAGCAGGTCAACGGCACCTAATGAATTCTGAGTGATCTCGGAAGTATTTCAACTATCATGACCGGCTGCCCGGCTTCCTGATTGGTCAGTAAGCCAGGCTGCCCCGTCGTGTCATGATGGAGCATGAAGCCTGCTTCTTGATTTGCCGGAAAGCTGGACCCATGCTACCTCTGGATGCCGGTGCCGGTGTCCGCAAGTACCGACAAAAAAATATCGGTACTCGATACCGAGAAGCCGGTATTGGTGCATTCCTATCTAGAAGTATGTGTTTGTTTTGATTGTCATTACTAAACATTTCTAAAAAGGTGTTCTTGTTGTTATTTTAAAGATCTGAGCAAAGTTCCTCTTTAAGGGATTCTTCAGAGACAGAGAAAGAACCGAGGCAATGCCAACCACTCTGGACCTGAAGGGTGCTCCGCAGCTTACTTAACCAGATTCAGTCTGGAAAGCACCCATGTTGAGCTTAGTAGCCTGATGATCACATTTAGGCTCAACCCATAATTGTCAAGTTAGGTGGGGTCTGGCTGCGATATGGTTCAAAAGCCAGGCAGTGGATGAACGCACCGCATAGCTGCAAATCAGTGGATAAAACACAGCAGCCAATCCTCCTGTAAGTGGCAGTATAACCAGAAGGTTTAAGGCTGTGCCCCCTAACAGATGAGAAAGAAATGTATTTTTTTGCTGAATTTACAATTGCAAATGTCATAAGTTGTCTCTTCCTTTAACAGTATGATAAGACATTCATCATCAGACATCCAGCAGTGTGATATGACATTATCATGGCAAATCAGAATGCAGTGGAAAAGTGAAACATTCAGCTAAGCACTGCACATAATGGCATTTTGTTGTAGTCCACTGCTGTTTAACTGGTATAAAGGGGAAGTTACCGTATGTGTGATGCTTTCTGAGTGCACAGCAAATGATGCATGGATTGTGCCTGCGGTGACTACCTTTCAATACTGTAAATGTCAGCAGTGTGTTTAGCCTGAAAATTAAATTTGCCCCTATGCTACAATTATTTAGTGGCTCAGCACAGACACTAGCTGGGGGCACAGAAAGAAAGGTCTTACTTCCATTTAGCTGGGTCATTCAATGCTTAAATCTGCCTTCTTACTTTTACCCATTCGTAATTTCTTTGCTGCTACACATCAGATAACACCAAACATCAGATCTGTATTGATCAGATCAAAAGGTTAAAAGGAGAACTAATGAACAAACAATTTTTCCAAAATGTCTAATGAAAAAGATGTCTGTGTCCAGGGTTAAGCATCATTCCCGATTACATGTGGACAGCAACAGACAGATGCGCTGCCTGTTCGAGTGAACGACAGGCTGACAGTGGCCGCATCTGTACAGACCTACCTGCGATTCCTGCTGCAAGAATTCACAGGTTTTGCAGCTACACCTGAAAAGTAACATTGTGTAACAGGCAGTATATCATTCTTTTTCATGTACATATCCTCACCAGAGGAAACAAAAGAAGGAACAGCATTGTAGGAATTCCAAACAACTACTGTAGGTTTTATACTGCATTGGTTGTAATTATTTCACATCATGTTGCTCTTTGCACTAGCCTATTAAATAAAATAAATATCCAAAAATGTTCAGAATTATAAGAATGCACTGGCTGCTCCTCTCCTCCCACATGAATCAAAATAGTGCAAGGAGTTCCTGAGATTTGGAAAAGTATCTGAAAATGGCCTAAATGGAATGGATTCTATGTACTTCAGCTACCAGTCCCAAGTCTATGCTGTCCTTATGGGTCAGTGTTACCAAGAATAGCTTATTCTCAAAGGAGATCCTGAAGCATCCCGGGAGATGTAGGTTTATGAGTGTATGGTATTTGCTAACAAATGCAGTAAAAAAACAGATCTTCTATTGCAGTTAGTATAGATAAATGCACAATGTTTTCTATTGTTTTGTATGGAAGGCCTATTTGATCCTTGTTATAGGACAAAAACAATAAAGGTTCAAGTTTGTTGTCAAGTCTTGCTCCATTCAGCTGTGCTGCACTGTCAAATTCTTTCCTCCAACATTTACAAATAAATGTGAAATGCAAACAGTAAATCAACACTGTAAAATCAAAACTGTGAAAAATATGTAAAAGTTATTAACAGTAAACCAACACCTTTATTCCCCCCATGCATAGACTGTAACAATCGTATTTCTAATCACTCAACATCATAAATATCTAAAAACACATTTTGTGAGTCCATGCCCCACATTTGTATGATATCCTGTGCAGTTCAACAATAAGAGGTTTCCACCATTAGTACATCTTCCACCGCCACTCTTCTGCCAAAAACTTTCTTTAGCATCTCTTAGTGATCTCCACTCTTAAAACGCTGTTAGCCTTATGCAATGCTATGTGTAAAACAATGTAACTGTACTACCAAGAGAATGTGTACTTGATTTAATAGGAGTCTTAAAAAATCCAATTCAGCAAGCGCTGCAGCCTCATACCAAGGAATTCCCTCCCTCCCATGCTTCATTGTGTGGGGGAGGCTGCGCTGGGCTTACAGCGACAGTGGAGAATAAACAAACGAGCACAATGGCCAAGACTGTCACTCAGTTTCGGGGACATATGGAAGATGACACCAGTAATGACAAGGATTAATTGCTGGAGCACCGAGGTGTGAAAAATGACTGTAAATGCAACTTTTTTTAATATTGGACTGGCATGCATATTTAGTAATGTGATTACAAGATATCCGACTTTACAAATCAGACTTTACAGTGATCTCTTACCTCCAAGGCAAACATTCTGTCCATCATGCTTCGTGACGAAGAGGCATCTGCTACAATATGAACCTCTACTCCTCGTCCAATTAAGTCCAATGCTGTTTGCTGAATACAAACATGAGTCTAAAAGAAGAGATGCAACTTGAAACAAATGTGCATACACTATGCAGTGCGTCCTTTCGCAGACATTTGTCAAACATTAATTATACTGTAGAGTATTGAAAAATGTCACACTAAAAAGCTTCCATCTGACATTGCCCAATGTTGTCAACGCAGATTACAGTGTGAAAAATTTCCAACAGTATATATCGTGAGGACCTTATCTAAAACAATCCATTCAATGTATATCAAGTCAATAGTCAAGTCACACAGCTTAGTGGTTGGTACAATCAGACTGTAATGCATGTGGTCACCTTAAAGCCCAAATGCGGACATTTTTTAAAGTGTCTCTCAGAAGGTTTTTAAAACAAAAAATCAGTTTTTGCTGAAATACTCACCTACTCTCCAGCACTGTCCCATGCAGTGATGCCTTTGTGATACTAGAAGTTCTCAGTCTTCCAGGTTAGATGGCACCCAGTGTCACTCGACCTGGAAGACTGAGGATATTCTGTGATTGCAGAGTGTTATATAGGGCCTTCACCTGTATCACCATGGCTCGCTGCACTTACATACAATGATGTACAGATCAAGTGGGGCCGATATCACTGAGGACCTACCAACGTCACAGAGAATCTGAATAGGAAGAGGACCCTGCAAGTTCATGTGATGAGCCTGAAAACATCTAAAAAAGATACGTTATATTTTTTTTAAATGAGGGTCGATGGGGGGTGGAGGCACCTCGGACTTGTGCTTTAAAGGTCTACATTTTATATTTGGAAATAAAATGTTCTTTGGTTATAGTGTATTTTATTCGGATCTCTGAATTTCTGGATCTGCCGTTTTGCCTTTATGGCAACAGCCGTTGCCATAAAGGCAAAAACTCACAAGCTGTTGTAATGAAAAAGGATTATGCAGGGATTCTGGGAGCAGGAAGTAGATGGATACGGGATTAGATTAACTACATTTTGCTTTGTAAGTACCTGTGCAGTCGCCAGAAAAAAGGAGGTTCAAAGAACCCACTTCACACATTTATTAAACTTACAGAAGATTAAAAATGTTTCATTTAATTCTTCTCGTTCCTTTGTTAGGCAGCATTCGGCTATTCACTCACTGCCGTTCGGCCCCTATGAGAATAGGGGTGAACGGCAGCGAGTGAGCTGCTGGAGCTTCGGCTCAGCCGATCCACATGTTGGATCGGCTGAGTCGAAGTCCTTCTGCACTTCGGCACAGACCGAATCAGACCGATCTACGGCTGAAATCAGGCTCGGCTCGGCTATTCACTCGGCTGCCTTCGGCAGCTTAGTGAATAACCCTGGAAGTCTCTAATTGTATAAGGTTACATTAACTCTGATCCGCTCTGCCGATCTTAATGGAGAAAAAGCTATCAGCTTCAGACTTGAAGCGGACAGCTTTTTCCTCCATAATTCTAGGTGAGGCTCTGCCTCACCTGCCTCCCATGACCGCACGTCCCTGATCTCTATGGCCCCTCACACAAACTTTATCAGTTCAGTCGAGGTTCACGGATACAAAAAAAACTGATGAAAACTGAATCAGTTTACATCAGTTTGCACATGCGTTGTCAGTTCAGTTTACATCCGTTTTTTTACATGTTTTGGGCATTTTGTGATTATAGTATGGTAAATTCAAGGGATGCACCGATACTAGAATCGGTGTTGACACCAAGTATTTGGGCGAGTACTCATCCAAATGCTCCGATACCTTCCCCGATACCAGAACTTCCGGACAGAGGGAGATTTTCATCTAACCGGCAATGCCACGAGGGAACATAGAGCCGGCTTCTCGGCCAACCAGGAAGACGGGCGCCGGGTAATGGTCTGCAATTTGAGATGCATCAGCTCTCCGTTTTGACTCACCAGGACTGATGTAACCTGATATAAACTGATGATCAGTTTACATCAGTTCAGGTTAAGTCAGTTTTTTGGGACTTATGTCGTAATGCAGCCTGGGGGAAAGCAAAGAATCATGGGAATTTACCATACTATTATAGCAAAAGGCCCAAAACGGACATGTAAAAAACGGATGTAAACTGAACTGACAACGGATGTGCAAACTGATGTAAACGGATTCAGTTTTCATCAGTTTTTTTGTATCCTGAACCTCGACTGAACTGATGGCGATCATGTGAAAGGGGCCTAAGGATTAGAAAGGACTATAGCTGTATATCACTGGGTCAGATATCTACCGTAGAAAAGCCTTGCTTGTGCAGACATGCTGAACAAACACATGGAACCCCCTAATAGTAAGAGACTTCAAGGATCAACTAAGGTATGGATTCAACTATTATCAAACAACTGTAAAGAAACTATACTATAGTTTGGTGTGCAGTAGTCAAATACATTTTATGGGTTTTTTTTTTAGAATGAACCAGTTTTTTTATGTTTCATTACTTATCCTTTCATATTTAGGTGATCCTGTCAGAACAGGTATATTGCATTTCTGGTGGCCCAAAAATGCTGCCTCTTCACCTCTGGGTTGAGTATCTGTTTCCTTCACAGCACACAATGCTGTAGGGAAACCACAGCATGTCATGGGGGAGCAGGTATTCTACACTACTGAAAGTGTGGAATATATGCAGTGGCAAACAAGCACCAAAGAGGTAGTTTTTCAAAAAAATAGGCTTCTTTATTACAGGTATGTAATTCTTTACCAGTGACCCTTTGCTGACAGGGTCACTTGAGGTAATAGTAGCAGTTAAAAGACACAAAGTGGAAAAAAAGGGGTAGCAGTTATGCATTTGCAAAACCTTTACATTTATTCTAGTTCCCACGCATGACAGAAACACAAATAAACACAACAAAATTAAACAGGGCCCCACTTACCTCAACTCCAAATAATACAACACTACGAACTCCAGGAATTTCAGCCAACGCTGCTTCAACTTCAGGCAAGACCATGGAGAACTTTGTTTTTGGGACGACAAGTTTCACACCAGTTAGATCAAGCTCCTGTACTGTGCTTCCAAGCCCTTTTGGATACTGTTCTGTGACAATAACAGGAATTCCTAAAATGCGTGCACCTTGCAGCTGAAACAAGATAGGGTAACACCATTGAATTCAGTTAAGGAAGTCAGATAAAGAAACCAACGTCCTGACCCCAGGAACCAACATTTTTCTTCCACAGCTATAAAGACAATAATTCTTACATATACAGAAAAGTTCTTCTGCCAATTTAGATGCAATGGAAGTTGGCTAATATTACTCTTGTTGCAGCCTCTGCTAACATTCATTGGCTGTGCTGAGTATAGAAGCCAGCAGGGAAGATTCTTTCATCCACACGGTTTAATCTGGATGGAGGAATCTATTCATTTGACTGATTGAGAAATCTAAAAGCGTATGGCTAGCTGTAATCTGCACATTTTCTAGCAAACAATGGATCAGCATGGGATCCAGTCAACCAACAGTTTAAAAAAAAAAGACAGCAATGAGAGTCTCAAAATTCTCTTAAAACAATGTTTTCTCCCCTATAGCTCTCCATTGCATTTATTCCAGAGACTTGCTGGAGATGCTATCAAGTGGCCGGTACTCTCCTGCACATTTGGTGGGCGAGCCCTTTTGGACAGACGTATGCACCCTTATTGTGCACATCACAGATGTCCCTCTTCATTTTACGCCTGCCTCTTTTACTGGTTCATTTTGTTACTTCCCTTCATATTTCTAAGCGATTGATGGTGCTACATTTACTAAACACCGCAAAAACTGTAATCCTAGATATTGGAAGTTGCACCAACCTCCCACCATTACAGAATGGCTTTTATGTGTAAATTATGTGGCAGACATGGAAAAAACCCATTCCCTTCAGCAATGACACTAGGACTCGTTACCTCAAGACCTAGATAAGATGGCATATGTTTAAATACACTGATAATAATGCAACCTTCACCACCCAACTTCCTGATTTTTGCTCGATTCTCCTACTCTTCTAGGAATCAGGTCACTCTTCCACCGAAATCTTTTTCTTCTCTTCTTCATCCAATCCCACTTTCCCTTCTTTAGCTCAATTTTTTCTTAGTTCTTGTCCCCCCCTCTTTTTTTGTTGTTTTTTTTTTCCTTTTTCCCTGTGCTACCATTTTCATATTGCTCACACTCCTTTTTTGTGCCATCTTCTTCTGCCCCCTTTTTTGATATGAAACTAAAAGCCTTTTGAGAGAACCTTATCCTCCCAACCTCGCTTTTGCAAGGTCCTTCATTGCTCTCACATTTGGTAATTGTATGCTTTTTTATTACTGAGGCCTAGTTCTCTTGTGCATTAAAAGTAATGTTATACACTGTCTATTGTTGTGATTGTACTGCTGCTTTTCACATTTCTTATTCTGTTATTGGTCGTCTGTGTTTTATATTGTTTTCCATGTTACGGTCACTGCTTGTACCTTGCACTGTTGTATTTGATTATTTTCTTCACTAAAAATTACCTGTGAGAAAGAGAGAGAGAGAACATTGCCAAATGCACTTGACGTTTAAAAGATCCGACATTTCCACTCAATGGGCTTCTTTACCACAGGAAGCACTATCACAATTTATATTTAATCATTATTATGATTAAAATAAATATAGTGGAGCTGCAGCTAACGATTATTTTCAAAATCGATTAGTTAGCCGATTATTAGGTTCGATTAATCGGTTAAATCGGATAAACAATAAAAATCAAGTTTAAAAAATGGCTCCTGTGATAGGACTACTAGTTTGTATTGAGGTTGTAGTCCATCACAGGAGCAAGCTTGGAGCGGTAGAAAACATCAATTTCCTTTACAACACTTACCAATCTCTGGCCCACACTTATTATATCTCCAAAATACTTGATAGCAGGGCGGAATCTCTCTTGCATGTCACAGCAGAAAAACACAGTACTAGCAGGTGTAAGATTCCCAAGTGTTGTCAGCTGAAAGACAATGAATACAAGAATGATCAAAAGGAAACGTGTCACACGAATGATCAAAAGGAAACGTGTCAGCATCAAGTGGGAAATACACACATTTCATACACATTCTTCATGATATTCAAACTGCACATTTAATAAGGCAACTGTCATGTGAGGAATATAGGAGCCATCATTGTTGGCTTGTTTCTGTGCAAACTTGTGGTCTTTCTTTATTACTTTTTTTTTTTTATTAATCATTGAATTCTGATGACTTGTATCTCCCCTGTTAGGACTATAGCAAATGTCCAAATGTATACATTTTTCTCCACTATAGATTATTTTAAAACTATGATGTACCTTGTAATAGAATACTGGTCTTTATGCCCTTAAAGCAAATCCGTGGGAGGAGTAGGAGTAGGAGTAATGCACATGAAAAAAAAAAGTGCTACTTTTTATCTTCCCCGGCAATGTGCACACAGAATAAAACCAAGGAAGCATTTGTTAAAACATGATGTGGCTTCTGATGTTACATTAAAGTAATTAGCAATGCTGCATATATTTTTTCCAAAATGTAATCTAGTTTCTTGATTATAAAGATGCACCCTTAAGTTGCTTTTTTACAAAACCAGGAAATGCACACCTCTACCAGGATAGTAGGTACTGAGCAGAATAGCCGAGCCGAATGCCGCTCGGCGGGATTTGGCTATTCACTTACTGCCGTTCGGCCCCTATGAGAATAGGGGCGAACGGCAGTGAGTGCGCTGCTGGAACTTCGGCTCATCCGATCTAGATGTTGGATCGGCTGAGTCGAAGTCTTTTGCATGTTTGGCTCAGCCCTCCTGAGATGTGTGCAAACCTGGTAATAAACTACAAGAAATGTTTTACATCTATGCTTGCCAACAAGGGTTTCTCCACCAAGTACTAAAGTCATGTTTTGCTTGGGGATCAAATACTTATTTTACTCAGTGAACTGTAACTCAATTTATAACATTTGTATCATGTTTTTTCTGGATTTTTGGTTGATTTTCTGTCTCTAGCATTTAAAATACACCTATGATAAAAATGATAGACCTTTCATTTCTTTGTAAGTGGGCAAACTTACAAAATCTGCAGGGGGTCAAATAATTATTTTCCTCACTGTATTTTCCAGTTCAGAAAATGATACATAAACATTCATTTCCTCTGTATTCTAAATAATTATACCTGCATTCCAGTAACAAAGAAGTACCTAAAGTTGCATTGCTACAAATTATAAATCAATGTGTTAGTAAAGCATTCCACATCTGATATAATGTTTAACAAGCATATGATTAGGTTTACCACTTTAGCTGCAGAAGAAATTGTTTCTAGTTCATAGAGAAAAAAAAAAAACTTGTAAATCTACTTAGTTGATATTTATCATCATTTATAAAAGTTACTGTAGCAAGGAAGACACATTACAAATGATGCTACAGATTGCATCCTAGTAAATTCTATAAAATATAATTAATTGACACTACAGCCTGCTTCTCTGATGTATAAATCAGCAAAAATGGAAATGTATTCAGACAACAAAAGGAGTGCCACAACCTAGAGCAATTACAGGCTATAATAGATTAAAAACTAAGTATCGTGTTATACTGACATGGCGTGGGGCCCATACATGGACCCAATACTTGAGCTCTTTTGATCAGGTCATAGGTCAATGTGGATAGTGGATTGGACAAAAACAATGACTCTGGTGGGTTGAACACAAAAAAGAATGACCATGTAGGATGATCAGCATCCTTCAGAAAGTATAGTGCTGTGATGAAAGGGTCCCCAGACTTGCTGAAGGTTGTCCTGGTCTGCAATGGTAGCTGGCTGGATGCATCTGGAGAAGTGAGGAGCCTGTCCTGTCTGGCTTGGCAGACTGGCAGCTGAACAGTACTGAGGAGAGGTAGGAATCGGCTCACATTGGGACGGTGAAGGTGTCAGGGCAAGCTGGCCAGACGGGGCCGCAGTAAATGGAATGGGGAAATGTTGTGCACTGTGTCTGTGACAGAGTGGCGGCTGGCAAGTGCTGCACGGAGGAGAAACCGCAGTCCACTGAAATGGTGTGTACAGAATGCGTAGGGGAGGATGTTAGGGAAGTGGGAAAGTGTGAAGGACAGAAGTAAGGCAGCAATGCGTTTCGAGGCTGGACGCCTCTTTCTCAAGCCAAAGAACTGAGGGGGAAAGTGGCGGGAGAAGAAATAGAATTTGACAGGTTAGTGGGGCTAAGGGCCGGGAAAAACATGATAGTAAACGTGAGGCGTTAGGATGAACAGATGGAGATCTAACTGGCAGAAACATTACTTTATGAAAAGATATCTAATTCATTAATTAAAAACCTTTTTTACACTCAACTTATATAGGAGGTTGGTAGGTGGAGCAATGAAGGAAACAACCATATATTATAAAAACAAAGTGGGATTGGGTACAATGTATCATAAAAATACAATTAACACGTAACTTTTATTAACTAAAATTAATTTTACAAAGAATTTTGGTCACACGAACCGTAGCACAATTAAAATACTGTCAGGGGTAGTACGTGCAAATAAGCTTTCTAACCTAGCAAGGTTATAGTTTGAGAAATGGTTATTAAAAACATAATCAATTGGATTAGGGATGGTGGAACTTCCCCAAGGAGGAAGGTATATATACTTAATGGGAATGAAGAAGGAGCCCTTTAGGGGCTAGAGTGTTTAATCAGTAGATCCAATAGGTCTCCCGTTTGCATAAACGCTGAAAGCTTTCGGGTGGAGAGAAACAGTCAGGAATATGCTCAATTGCAAAAATGTGGAGATTCTGGATTCTCTTGCTATGTTCGAGAGCACAATGTCTTGGGACACGGTGTTCAAAATCTCCTTTTTCGATGAGTCTTCTATGTTCACCAATCCTCTTACATAAATGGTGTGGCCTACATAAATCGTACCACAGGGACACTTGAACCTGTATATGAGTTAGTCATGCGAGCAAGTGATGCATAGTTTGGTTTGATGTGTGTTATTGATATGGTCTTTAAACTCTGATTGTCCATGATGAATAAATTGGCAGGTCAGACATTTTGTTTTTTTACATTGGAAGGTGCCCACTCTATTGTCAACTAGGAAATGGTTATAGTGGATGTTGGAACCTTGGACAAGTTTGAATAGAACAGAACAGAGTCTGAAGCTGCATCTTGTCTTGCGGAAGTAAACCAGTATCCAGATATATAGCCTTGTATCCACCGCCCGTTATCAACTTAGTATGGGACTACTGAAAGTTAATTGGTTGGCCCACATCTTATTTATGTGCTTCAAAGCGAAGGGGTCAATACTTATGCACTCAAGATTTCTGGGGTTTTTTTTGTCACAATAAAAATTACTTTGCACCTGCAAAGTGATAGGCATGTTGTGTACATCACATTGTATAAACCACCATCAAATCAATTTTAATTTCAGTTTGTAATCCAATAAAACAGAAGAAACACTAAAGAGTGAGGGAGTTGCCCTATGAGCATAGCAAAGCTAGCCCTGGTGCACACACTTGGGGCATGGAACAGACCAAATGGGAGGGGGCTCAAACTAGTATGGTTGTGCGTCCACAGAAAATCACAGGTAATGTTGATGTCCTAGGGACATGATGAGAACATGCGAGTAGGCATTCATGATGTCCACAGAGTCAAAAAAGTCTCCCTAGTTTTTTTTGCAGGTGACATCTTTAAAAAGGCTATCTAGGAAAACACCAAAGAGATGTCCTTCTCCATAAAACAATCTCACGCAGAAAGGCAGGCAAAAAAGTGGAAAGTGCATGTTTGTGCGTAACAGTTGCAATTATTAATGCAGCACCTATTTCTAAAGCACAGTCAGTAACCCTTTGAAGGAAAAACCAGGCAGAAGGAAAAAATACCTGGGCTTACCATAATTGTAGGCCTGGAGAGCCTTTTTTGCTCACAGTACTATAGTACTGAACAAGTGCCACATGCAGAACCCAGTGAACATGTTACATTCCAGGAATTCTTCACGCTTATACAGGTATACTGCAGTCAGGGAACTGGATCACACCAGAAGCTGTGTCAGGGTCCTGGGCCTGTAAAGCGCTCTGTGGCTAAGAAACCAGTGCACTAAAGGATCGATTTATAAAAAAAATGACATAGCTTATCTGTCCGGTGAAACAACATTATGGCTACTAGATGGAGCAAAGACCCTTCTAACATGTATTTATTTTTTATGATCCCCAGCTCCATCGAGTGACCATAAGCGGTATTTTTCCCAATGAGGATAATTAGACCAAAAGAAATTACAATAAGAACATTCATTTTTGCGCCATTATCAGCAGCTGGTTAACTCACACAGAACGAATGTACATGCAGTTTTGCTGAATGAATAAGCTATGCAAATTTTTTTTCTTTTTTTGCCGGGTTTCATTCATATTACAGGTAAGCACATGGGAGTGCCAATGGGTTTTTTGTGTTGTTGTTGTTGCCTGTGTCCAATTCCTCCTTAAAGCAGTATAACCCGATTGTCTCAGATTGTTTTTGATCCTGTGTCCCTTAATGAACGATAAAGCAATACTACTGACAGTATTTTGTTTTACATGAATAAGAGCAAAAAAAAACCAGTTGCTCCTGCCAGAAATCCAGTGCTGTCCTGTAACCTATGGAATGCACAATGTCATATTGAAGTGTTAACCCCTTTGTGACGGGAGACGTACAGTGTACGTCTTGTCACTTTGTGCCTATATGACTGGCCACGTACACTGTACGAAACTTGTGAAAAAAGTGTTTTCTTCTTGTTTTTTTCCTCCATTTTCTTTTTTCTTTTATTCAAACTATGTGAGGGGTTAGGTACACATATGTGATATAAATATGTAGCCCTATCTGTCCTCTAAAAAACTATATATAATATGTGGGTACATTTAGTAAGAAAGTATATTACTGCTGTGGAAGAATCACACAGCAAAAATGTAAAAAGTGTGTCAGTCATTTATGAACAGAAACTGAAAACTAGCTCAGTCATGAAGGGGTTAAGTTAACA